ACTCAGTGAGGCATGTCCGGGCTCTGGATGAGGAGAGACTGATGGAGGTGGAGTGGGAGGATGGAGGCCAAAGTCTGTACCCATTCACTTGGCTGAGGGACAACTGCCAGTGTCCAATGTGTACCCTGGAGTCTGCTCAGGCACGGAAACTGTTAATGGCTGATCTTGATATCCACACAGGAGTTGATGTTGTGGAGGTCACAAATGACAACAAGGTAGGTAATGATATTATACACTCAATAAGAGACAAAAGGATTAATGTTTAAATCATTTGCTCCTGTTTCAATGTTTAATTAATTTTGACTACGAATACAATCTCTTTCAAAATTAACTTAGGGTGTTTTTAAACCTGGATCATTTGGAGAAGTTGTACCACGTTTCCTCCTTGGCCCGGTTCGTTTTGACACATGTGAACAAGAAAACCGTTCTCTGATGCAAACGAGCCAAGATTGCCTGGAAGAGGTGGTCTCTTTTTTGTCCTTCTCATCACTAGAACCTCCACTTAGGAGAAGATGGTCTCATAACGTAACACACTGGTAACAGGTGTTACAGTTTAAAGAGTGACCAATGTTAACTGGCAACTTTCAGCTGCGTGAAAACAGCAAGAGTTGTTTACTTTTGATTATTTATCAAAATATATTAAAAAAAACTTATCAGATATGTATTTGAAGACTTTTTTGTCAACAACCTCAAAGGCATTCAGCTCAAAGTCACCAGTTATCCTGGTCACACATTACACCGTAACACCTTCAGAGCATTGAAAGCCCCACTCATTTTGCACTGATTCATAAGTTTGTTAACTTCTGTAATTTTGTGAGTGGTGTCCAACATTTGACAAATATGCTCATCTGCCTAAATATCAAAGGAATATTTGACCACACTGCTTCTGCAAGTCAGCCCACGATTCATTTTGTTGGACGGTTAATAGTCACATGACATTTGTTTACCTATGCAGTGGGAAAAGTTGGCTGTGTATCACTTACTGAATCTGAATAGGAACAAAGCAAACAAGCCAAAGGTATACAAACTCCCTTCCTGAAGGTCCCGACAGTTGTGTTTCCACAAAGTTTTACAACTCTATTGAATGGTGGCAAAGAAAATTTCTGGTGCCAGGCGCACAAGTGCCCCATTGATTAGTCCTATTTAAAATTCTGGGTTTTTTGAGGCAGAAGCAGATTTAAGAGGTGGAAAATAACTGTTGTGTGCCGATCTGTCTGCTGAATCACTGTATTTTTGAGCTGAGATTAAAAAAGACTTTTCTTTGTTTAGTATACACTGATATGACAACACACATGTATTCAGTTAGCTGGATTGTAGTCCGGACCAGCATTTGTTACAGACATGCTGAGCTTATTGGTAACAATGAAGTCAGAGCACATTATAGTGGACAAATAATATGATGACAGGATTTCTCTCTCAGCCCAAGAATTGTGTTCTGCACTACATGTTCTGTATAACTGCAGTTCTGAAATAATAAATGTGCCAATGCTGATATATCTGTGATAGACTCTTATCACAGTGATAATGGCTGACATGGAGTATTTGTAAAGCTGAAGTTGATATTGACAGCTTACTTGTTTGACTTCATGGCTTTTCTTCATCCATCATTTGTCATTTGTTAAAGTGAAACAAACAACCCAACCAAAATGAATCTTGGGCAAAGTCAGACTTGTTTATGGATACATTTTGTATCCTGCTGAGTGTTCAAGGCCATCAGCCTGGTGATAAACTATGAGCTACAGGGACATTAGACGATCTAATTCTGGCAGAAGCACACGTTCAGTCTGACATTTGAAGTCCTTTAAAGAAGCCACCTTCATGAGCTGCGTCCTTCAGATGATTCTTCCTCTGAAATTTGACGCAGCTGTAAACAGATCTTTGTGAAGTGACCAGGCTGCCAAGCTACTGCTTCTCATTGTCTTTTGTTGATAAAATAATCATATGCAGTACATTTCCTGTATTGTTTTATGTTTCCAGTACCAAGATTTGCCAGGTGGCCTATTGGGGTAAACATCTGCTTCATATAGCACAACAATTATTTTATTTATGCCCCTGGCTAAAGAAAGTATTAGATGCTCAAACCCAGCATATAAGAAATCCTGAAAACAGTTAAAAATGTTGGCTCAGGGCGCTGGTGGCTCAGTGGTTAGTGCGCGCCCCATGTATGGAGGCTATAGTCTTCCAAGCCGGCGGCCCAGGTTGGGATCCAGCCTGTGGCTCCTTTCCCGCATGTCATTCCCCACTCTCTCTCTCCCTGATTTCCAACTCTATCCACTGTCCTATCTCTCCATTAAAGGCACAAAAAGCCCCCAAAAAAACCTTAAAAAAAAAAAAAAAAAAAAAATGTTGGCTCATGGAACCAATCAGCTGTTTGTATCTCCACAGGTGTCTATTGTTTGGCCCGACCAGCACACCAGTGTGTTTGATGCCGAGTGGCTGAAAAAACGCTGTTTCTCTCCTGCTGCCAGACAAGCAATGCAAGAAGAACTTTTCCTCAATGGTGAGTCAAGATTCAATATTTAAAGTCTAAACTAGAAGTCTTTATTTGTAATGATTCGTTTGGGGGATCACCTCCTCAGGTGTTTTTCAACCAAATTTAAGTTAATGAAGTACACCGGGCTAAAACTAATACAGTCTCATTCAACAGAAAACCTATAATCCTTCATTAAGGTGGTATTTGGTGCCCAAGGCAAGATTTCAGCTGGTACCCCTTGTGATGCAGCCAATTCCACCACCAATCTCAAAATTCATTCACTTAAAGAAAACAGCTTTATGTTTTACAGATTTTCTTTATTTAAAAAAACAAAACAAAAAGTTTGTTAAATATTAATTAAAAATATGTCCTTTTTAAATAAGTAATGTATAATGCTTTCTTGACTTTTTTTGTAATATTACTAAATAATAGCATGAAATTTTCTTCTTATTAGCTTCAACTCTTCTTCCTCTCTCATTGGCGCCCCCTATGAACAGCCGGCGCCCCTAACAGTTGCCTTTACTGCCTTTGCCCCGGGCTGGTTCTTGCTGTCATATACTGTGCTGCGTTCAACTGAAAGGCATTTCTATTCTAGCCCCATCAGTTATATCAACAAGGGCGACCTTAACAACAGGTCTTTAAAGGAGGCCATGAATCATAACCCAGCTGTCTTTGAATTGACAGGATGGACAAACACGGCCATGAATTACAGCATTTTCAAAGCTGTATCTGAGAAAAGCAATTTGTCTGCTTGCTGAGCAGCCAGTTCCTGTTTCTACATAAATAACAAACAAAAATGACACTTCCCATTCTGTAGCCACAAGCTGTTATCAATGAGTTATTATAGATTGGAGACACCACTCTGGCGTCCTGTCCCCACTCACTTAAAAGTGCGTTTAATCCAAAAAAACTAATTTCATTTTACACTACACTTTACTTTTCAACACAGAAATGTACAGCAGAAAGTATTTAAACAGCTAGCAACAGGATTCTGAAAGGAGAGAATACTTTTGTGAGAGGAAAAGCTGTGAAGTGGGTGATTCTGTACTTTCCTGAGTGTCTGTTTTACAGTCAGTATGAAAATGAAAGTAGGACCGTTTCTGCTTTTGCATTGATGCTGATAAACTAATTTGAATTCTCCATTATATCACCAGACTTCTTTGTCCTTTCTCTTGATTTTGATTATCAAAGAGCTTCAGGGTTGCTGAGCTGAGTTTAGTTTCACCTGAAAATGAGTGTAAAATCGTCGTACACAGTCATTTTAAGCAAGAGAAATCACATTATTTGATTTGAATGTGGGGATGTTTATAAGACTCTTTTATTTAGATGTCTTCTGTGTTTTTTTAATCCGTCTTGTTCAGATTATTTTGATTAGGTACGTTTCCCATCATAGTATTTGTATTAAAATAGGCAGTAAGACTGGATTTGTTGTGCTTATCCCTGTCCATTATGCAATTGAAGCAGACGTATGTACCTGAGTGTGTGTGTCTGTCATGATGAACATGAGCGGACTTTCTCCCTCAACCTTTCCTGTGGAAAAAAAGGATGCCCTTGATTTAAACCCTTCTTTCCACACATTTTCTTTTCCGAAACATAATGTGGTTGTTGAGGAAGGAAGGTTTTTTTTCCTCTAAAGACTGGAAAGAGAAGTTATTTTACAGTACATTTACAATGGCCCAATTCACTTTACAGCCTGCCAGACAGCGGAGGAGAAAGTTTAGCTGTGGAACAAGGTAGGGACGTTTCAGTGGAGCGGGGGATGGACTAGTTGGTTTGTGTACACACACGTGGTCCTGAAGGACCCACAGGGCTGAGCGGCTCCTGCTCTGTTCCAGACTGATTAAGGTTATGTATGTGTGTGAGTGTGTGTGTGCGCATGTGTGTAGCAGAAGTCTTCTGCTCATACTGAAGTGTAAACAGATCTCCCTCATAGCAAATGACAGACAGACTGATATCCATATGATAGTTTAGATATTTCTTCTTAGGACAGAGTCAGGAGCTCTCCTGGAAGACACTGCTAAGGTCATCCACCAAAACACAATGCAAGATGACATACACACACACTCACTGGGTTTAATTATTTCCTCCTGAGTGCCATGCAGTTTGAAATCCCTTGGACTGGAATATTCTGAAAAGGCTGTTCAACATCCTTCTTTTTGAAAATGAATGATGATGAACAGCCTTCACCTCAGAGGATTTTTCTCCGGGTCCCTCCTTTACTGCTCCATGACGTTAACTCACTGAAGCAGAGTCCACAGTTTGAATTTCTGTTTCCTTTTTCATGCAGTGCAACTTGATTTTACAGGCCCAAGTGTGCCTGTTAAAGAGTTCTCAACAGTGAAAGTCAAGCGCACACAGGACACTGTGAGGTCAATATGAAAATTGGAGCTCTGGGGATATTATTCAGCCAGCTCTCTACCTCCTGCTTTTATGTCTGAAGTAATGTTTTTTTCTTCTGCTTTTACCGTAACTATGGAGTTTGTACAACACAAACCACAGGATGTAGTTCAGGAGCCACTATTTGTGAAGTGAGACATTGGAGAGGTACTATACAAGGGCACTTATTACACTATAAAAAACTTTTCATGTCTGTATTATTCAGGGACCAACCAGGCTGTGATGAAAATCTGCTCTGTCACACATTTGAGAATACTTTTACAAAGACATTTCTTCTTTCCAACATTCTTAGACAGTCAATTGTACTTTAAAAAACCAAACAACCTAACTGTTCAGGTGTGGAGGTGTTTATTTTCAAATATCTAATGTAGTGTATTGGATCCACATGTGATTTGACCTCTAGTTTATTGTCTCTGCACAAACTGAACATAGGTACTATATGTCTTCTCTGGAAATGGTGCAGGGCAGTGGACCTTCTGAAAGGCTGACGTCTGTATAAACGTGAGCCTCTTTCAGACCCAGAAGCCAGATGGAAAACTGATTTGAGAGTGAGGGTCAGGAAAAGATCTGCATGTTCTTACCAAACACAAGCTCACTGTTGTCAGTATTTCCTTCCTTGGGAATTAACAAATCCCAGAGCCTGTAGGCATGTGTAACCAGGAATTTAAACCCAAACTGCCAGAGTGTTGAAGACTGAGAGGTTACCTACAGACTTTCTTTCCTAAATCCGAAGGTATTATCTGTCTTTTAAGGTCAGCATTTGAATTATAAGCCTTATTAGACATTTGTTAGGCGTTTTTTTTATTGGATTCTACTTGTATTTGATGTATTTTCTCCCTTACGAACCCCTCACTGTTTTGTGATTGTCAGAATGGCAGTGAGCAGGCGTATGAGAAACATTTTGGTTTGCCGATGTCATCAGCAGTGCTAGCATCACCCACCTTTGGTCCTCCTTGCAGGTTAACATCCACCTGCTTGTGCTGAATGTTGTTAGGCATTGCTATGTGGTAAATATATACCAGTTTAACCTGACACAGCCGAACAAACATTCTTATCTGTTTTCTAGGTCAAAATACCAAATGTGCTGCTCCTGCAACATACTATCTGTTAATTACGCTTATTATTATCTGGGTAGTAGAACAGGGAGAGCAGGCCCATTACCCGGAGCTTCAGCCAGTCTGTGGTTACTGCCCTGGCTAGTGGTGGATGGCTGTGTTACAGTTGGAGCATATCCTTTGACCTGCATTGTGGGATAAGATAAAACTATCAATAATTTGTTTTACAGACTCGACTAGTAATTCTGGTGCACAGATAATGAGTTGGCATCATTTAACCATTTTTTCACGACCTTTGGTATTCACACGTGTTGTGTAGTTGTTGACATGTGTGCTCTGAACCTTCACTTATTAGTGGAACGTCCCTTTAGAGGAGAGTCATGACGCGTGCTGTGTGAGCTGCTCTCAAGAACGGCAAAAGCTTTTGTCACTCACGGCCTTATCTGCAATGACTCTTCCTCTCACCGATAAATCTGTCAGTGAATTACTCAAACGCCTGCCGGATGCTTTTAATATTTGAACCTTGTCATCGTCTCAGGCCTCCCATTTTGCGCTTGTCAAGTTGATTCAGTCTGGGTGGTATCATGACTAATTTCATGTCACTGGTAGTTAAAAGCTGGATTTAAAAACAGGTCAAATTGAATTTTATAGAAGGTAAAAATGTGCCAGACTAAATAGTTTGCAGCTTTTTTTCACACCTTCATTTAGTTCATAAAAGAGCCTGTTGTGTATCTGAACTGACTCTCCATCCATTCTCTAATTCAGTACACTGTGTGAATTGCTCGCCCTCAACAGGGCGTAATGGCATGTCATTTTGGTGACAAGTAGCCATTTGCTCTGATGACCCAGAATAACTGCATCAAGTTGTCCTAATAGGAGTAAGTACCACCGCCTGGCCTCTTTGCACGCGCTTCTCTCTGCCCTGCAGGTCTCAGGCTGATGTGATTTTACACGTCTCATGCTTGAATGGTAGTTTAACCATGTGGAGTTAAGAAACTAAAGTGCTTAAAGGTTTTAGCCTCTGTAAGCATTTGCAGATTGTTTTTGTTCCTCTGGCTCCTCTATTTGACTCCTTACTTTGTATTTTAGAATCAGAACAAACACAGAGTTAAGTCTACAGAAAGTTTCAATGTCAAGCTGTGAGCACCATATGTCTGATGAGACGTGTGCAGTGTTTCCCCTAGGTTTACAGCTTTGGGGGGTGGGGGGGGGACACACGCCGACAGGACGACACAAACACTTAAAGGAATCTTGGTGTTCATGCATCACTTTTAATGACAGCTGTCCTTTTCTGTCAGAAAGGTATCCTTAATGACTTCTTTCCCTGATTTCCTACTCTATCCACTATCCTATCTCTACAATAAAGGCACAAAAACCCCCCCAAAAAATCTAAAAAAAATAAAAATAATAATATATATATATTTCTTTACTTGACCTTCAAGGGGGGCCCTAATATAATGGTAGGGGAAACACTGGTGTGTATTTGTTGTAATGAAATCCCTTTTATTCTGTCTTTTCACTGGTTTAAATAGTGATGTGTTACCTTTAATTGGGCCTCAGATTTCAATGATGCTG